CAGCAGTACTCGTGGAGGCAATAAGCACTTCTCTCCTAGTACAGGATATTCTCTGATGTCTAATACGAGGTTGAGCTGAGACAGCACAGCTCACACCAGCGGGCAGGGAGGAATAGGTCCCCTCTTCTCTTCCCAGCAGCCAATGCTCAGGAAACCAGTAGACACCTTCTACCTTTGAGACTTCCAGGTTTTTGTGTAACGCAGGGGGAAAATGGCCAAGAAGTTCAAAAGTTATGCAAAAGAAGAGCTGGATAGGCACACCCATGGGGCTGATCACTTAAGCTTCCGTTTCTGCAGGGCCTCAAGTAAAATGGAAAACCCAACCCCAAACCCAAGCCACAGAAGTCCAACTAGTCACACACCAGAATCAGCCTAGAGTAAATGCCTTGAATCTGCCTCCCCAGGGGCACACAGCGACAAATTAGCAAGTTGGGCTCTCCATTTTCACAAACAAAATGCTTCTGCCCTGTCCTCTCCTGTCCCTGCTGTGCCCCCAGTGCAAACTCAGAGCCTTCCTTTGCAATGCTAAAAAACAAGCTGTGAACATCCAGGGTGTGTGCAAAACCCAGGGCTAGGCCGAGCCCTCCCTGCATCGGGGCAGGATTTGCTCCCCCCACCCCAAATCCGCTTCCGTCATTCCTGCAAGGAAGAATTTGGCCCTAGGGATAAAATATCCTCCTTGGATTAGGAAGGGAGAATGGGAATTTACTCTCTCTCCCCTCACCGCCCACTCCCAGGCAAATTTCTCCTTTTAGCACTCACTTGCTAGAACAGCAGGGTGGTATGTGGGACAGATATGCTTCAGAGGAAAGTTTGCTGGTGTTGCTATTAGGAGCCAGTGGAGGGGGGCGCATTTTGGTTTCTATTCACAGGGGAAAGGGGGAGAAAAGGGGAGCCCTGTGCTGAGATTTAGGAATGGGGGCTCTATTCCTAGGCCTGCCACTGCCCAGGAGTGGGCTGTGCCTCACTTACCCCACCCGCAGCCTAGGAACAAGGCTACTGAACCCCCTTCTTTGGTCTGCTGATGAAAACAGCCAGGCCAAAGAAAGGAAAGCCTCTGGCTCTGCACTCCGAGCTGAGGCTAATAAAGTATCACCCAAAGTCTGGGCCGAAAGGTGTTTCACAAACTATCAGTCAAGCCTGCCTGCAGCTGCTTTTGGGGTGCAGGGCAGCAGCTCCAAGTGCTCATCTCCCCACTGGAGCAAGGCAGGGCAGGGCAGAGCTTCTTCCTCCTCTTACAAGCAACCAAGGGCATTCAGACCTTTCTCCTCTGGTCAGAGTGCAACCCGGCAGCCAGCGTGGAGGAAGGATGAAAGGTTTATGCTTGTTGGGACTGACCCTGGGAACATTGAGTTGGCTGGGAGAGATTGTCAAGGTCTCCTCACCCGTCTCACAACAGGACAAATCCCCACTATGGACTTCTCCAGCTGGGCCAGTGCTGCACATGGAAGACCTCCTCGGTGGCAGGGACGGATGCTGGTTATATTTAGCCTGTTTTCCTATGGAAACGATGCTTATTCGATCCTGCTTTGAGTATGCGTGTGTGCGCGTGGGAGAGTCCCTTCCCCCAGTAACATTTTAACCCATTGCCCAATCTCAGCCACATTTGCTGGAGGAGCAGACGTCTCAGGGATATTTGCTCCCTTCACATTGCATGAAAACAAGGAGACAAGAAAGGTTACATCTATTTTCCCCTAACCCCTCAAGAAAGGCTGCAGCTAGAGCTCAGCCCTTCTCCTAGGCACCAGAGAAGCTCCAGCAGGAAGTAAACCATGGGAAAAGCTCCTGTCAGCGCTGGTGCGTTGTTATCCACCAGGGACTCCAGCCTGGACGCAAACCGGGAGCAGCGAGGGGTCATTGCTCACAGTACACCTCCTTCCCTCCCACACCCATCCCTCTCCCTCTGCCGCACGCTACCCCACAGCTGCTGCAGTCAGCTGTCCCCGCCGCCTGCGCGGCGGCATCCTTGGGAACCCAAAAAATAACAATCCCACGCCCAGATTAAATCCCAGAAAGCAGCAGGCAGGAGAGAGAAGCGGCTGGGCTGCTCCGGGGAGGAGGGAAAACGCAGAGCACGGCCAGGGCGTCCCGCGATGCGCCCAAGGGCGGGCAGCGAGTCGGGGCAGAGCTGGGGAAAAGCCCCCGAGCGCCAGCCCTCCTTCGGGGCAGGACGCGAGCTGGGCACACGGGGAGCCCCACAGCGGGGCAGGTGGCCCCAAGTCCCCACCGTCCCCAGGCCCGGAGCGCGCG